CAATTGATGGAGCGCGATCTGGATACTCCTAGCTGGAGGGCAGGTTAGACGTCGATTGCTTAGCGGGCCAGTTGAACTGCAAGAAGACAATGCTTAGAGGGCCCAGGGTGTTTTACCCGGCGTGGGTACTCCAATGCTTAAGTTAGTATTTGGTAGTGTGAGCTGAATGCTTGTAAGCTTGTAGGCTAGTGAGTAGAAAATTGCGTGTACCTTATGACGTTAGGGTTTGTGCCCTTATATAGGTGGGCTTCTGTGGGTCTCACAAAACTCCTCCGAGATCTCCGCTCTATGCTGCTAGGAGTCTGTTCCACACCAGAAGGTGGATTTCGTGCTAGCTGATAAGGCTTATCGAATCCATCAAATTTGGGCGGGATGAGGGTAAGGCTCGCAGAYGTGCGTCGTGATCTCGAAGAGATCAGAGACAATTAGTTAACTTCTAGAAGTTGGCTACATGTCACCTCAATAGGTCAGGCCATCCCGAGCTGCTTAGTCCTTGGTCTTGGCTAAGGTTTCTGAGGTACCCAAGCTGATCTGGCTTGTTGAGGTGACAGGAAGTGTCGAATCATCATCCAATCAATAGGTTGCTTCCACGTGTCCGGGTGTTGATAGGTCGGGCCAAATTACCCCTCATCATAAAGTTTTCCTCTCTTCTCCATAAAAAAATCGATAGCAGTCCCCTTCCACGTCTTTGAAGAATTGAATTTAGAGATCAAATCAGCCTCTCACAGCACATCCCCACTATGTGTTGGTAACATCTCCCGAGGATGATATCATCATTTCTGATATTATCATCAAGAGATATTCCCAATACACAACAGGATGTGCTGTGGGACGTTGTGGGGGGCAATCTTGTTGGGAGCTGATTTGAACTCTTGAATTTATCCAAATTGACTCCCATAGTTTCCATATGTACATCACCACCATATGTACCCAAAAATATGTATTTATATCGCTACCAAACGCAGCCTAAACTGATCACTAAAAAGACAGAAGCACACTATTTTTATACATACAGCTACCTAATTGCTAATTTTTTATTTATAAGAAAATAAGAATAGAGAAAGAGAATGGATTCATTTGGTGACATGGAGTGGGTTATGGAGTGAAGCTCGGCTTATCAAAAGAGGGGCCTGATTGGTCCGACCAAATCTGTCACCCGGAGGAATCGTGGGTGAAAACAGGGTATTCTTCCTTGTTTCATGAAAGTTAGAAGAGAAGAAGGGTGAAAAGTAAGGCTAAAAGCTGAAATGGAGGAAGAGGGGATTTTCGATTTTGCCAAAACGGGAGGAAATCAAGGAATTGTCTCGGCCCTCGGGGCCCAAACAGAAGAAAGTGTGTGAAAACGACAAAAGTGCACCGCCAAAAAGATGGGGTGGGAATTGGGGTGGTGGTGGTTCCCCACTGTCCACTTCCCAATTCCCATTTCCCATTTCCCAATGGGGATGATGGGCCGGGCCCATCAACTCAACAAAAATTGGATTTTGTTGACCGGCGGTCATCGCAAGAGACACGGGCCCACCCACCCAACGTAGCGGAGCCGTAGAGTTTTGAGATGTATGTGTTGGTGTACTCTTTCAGTCGAAGAGTCTTCTTAGTTCTTGCTTGTTCCTTCCCCTTCCGTCAAATGCGGGAAACATGTCTCTTTACTTCACTCTTGTCTTTGTCCGGAATATTGGAAGAAATAGGACGGCCACGGGCCATCTGCCCTTCACTCTGCCCCATGAATCGTCGTCAATTCCTCGTCTCCGCCAAACTGTCGGTCTATCTCTCTCCATTTTACGCGAAGAATCGGCAATTCCTCGACATCGCTCTTAATTTRAGTGAAAAACGCCAAAAACAAGAAAAAGGATAATCAACTTCTTGCACCACCCGGAAATCGAACCCGGGTATGTACCGTGGCAGGGTACTATTCCACCACTAGACCATTGGTGCCTGTTGCTCTCCAAACTCATAACGTTTATATAATAACGAAATTAGTTAAACTTAGTACATTGTGAATAGCGCAGGAAAATATACAGCTCCCATATGGAAATTGGAATATGGTTTTCTCAATATATTTTGGACAATGAAAAGGATATAGTGCTCAAACCCCAAATGGATTAGCCTCACTAGACAATGTCTAATGTCTATTGCTTCAATGATCATGTGACGTTTCCCCAAACGAGACCTAGTCACGTAGATACAAAGTTTAAGGCCATGAAAATTCAAGTTTAAATCCCTTGTTCCAAGCTCAGTCAGCTTGTACACCTTTACACTCTCAACTGAAATATTAGGTTGCATTTGGAATCAGTGTAAAACGTTAGTAATGTATACTTTCATTGGTGATGTTTTACACTGAACTAGAAAGTGACCATTGCTTTTTTGAAAATAGTGATGGGTGGAAGAGTGTAAAGTTTTACATTGATTATCGATGTAAAACTTTAGAATTGATTATCAACCTAAAACTACACTCCATCCAAACACACGCAAAACTGAATTGGAATATAGTTTTGCGCCGATAATAATTATACCCTTTTTTCAAACACATACAAAACATTGTTTCTTGATTTACATCGCATCCAAATGCAACCTTAATAAGGTATCAAAAAAAGTTATAAAAGGGTCACTGTTATTTGGGTTTTCTAAGGACAAAAAGAAATCTTTTTCTCCACTTATTTTCTTTCTCTTCTGCTATCATTCTTGTCCTAAGTTTAAGAAAGTGCAGCCCATGAATCTCTAAAATGGGCAAGAATTAGCCCACCATGCCTCTTGTTGAATCCATGTTAGATGTAAGATATTTGTTTAGTGAGAGGGAGTGGGTATATGAATTAACTCAATTTTTCTTTTTTAATTTTTTGAGACATAAAAGAACATAGTCCATATTAAGTTTTGATTATGCTTCTGGACAGATTGCATGTCAGCAAGCATTCAGCACATAGGGCAAATATGAACATGGAGAAGGTTGATTACTGATTGGTTTGCCGGCCAAGACCATTTTTTTTATTATTATTTGTTGGTTGAAAATTGAAGCTCTGAAGCTGGTGAATATTATAATTGAGATCCATGCTTTTACTTGTTTGAGTTTGACCCAGATTGTTGAATGGATGGGTGAGCCTTTTCTAATCCTCTCCCTTTACTGCCATTCTTAGCTAAAGCTTGAAAAGTTAATTGGCTGGTATTATATATGTGGTTTGTATCCCATGGAAACAGAATTGGTTTTCCGTATTAGTACTCTCTCTCTCTCAAAGTTATTGGTGGTCACATGGCAATTGGCAATATGTTTTAGCTAAAATTTGCCATGTCAATGTGGGGATTTTTTTTTCTGTCTTTTGGGTTTCAAACCATCTTTCAACGAGTCAGGATTTCCTACCGTAACCAATCATTGTGTGACAGGTATCCAAGATTCAGCATAGGGCCTGTTTGATTCACAGGAATAGGGGTTTGGAATCAGAATTGGAATGGATTATTCCGATTCCAACTGTTTGGTTGGGCAGAATTGGGATCCCATTTCCATTATTGGTGGAATAGCATTAACCTATTTGAGGGAATGGTCACTCCCTTCCCCTACCTTGGGAATGAAATCACATTCCAACTGATTCAAATTCTCATTCTGAATCCTGTCTGAACCCAACAGACTATGAAAATAGATCATTCTGATTCCAATTCCAACTGGAAAGTGAACGGGCCCGGGCCTATAGTTACTCTAACATATACCAATGGCTGGCATGCCATGGGTTGGTCTTCACCCTTCCATTCAAATGAATGAAGAGTGAACGGAGACAGTAAGAAGATCCAGAAAGCAGCCCGTCCAGACAACCTTTCGATGGAAAAAGATCCATTGAAAGAAAAATAAAGCAAATGGAAAATTTAGGCTTGCTCAACGCTTGACAAGAGGTCTTAACCTGTGTTCATAAGCCCAATAAAAATTTAAAATTTACCATAAATTAACGTGGGATTGGCTGTATATGTGTTCATGTTTGGGCCGGTTTACTCCAAATTAATCGACCGGTTAGATGGGCCGCAGCCCATGCAATCCTAAAGATGTGAGATCATTTTCTTTGAAGTAGACCAAGGTTGATAGCCATTGCCTTAGGGCCTCCATAATGCCATTAATCACTCTTTCGAAAGGACTACACTTCTAACAAAAGCTGAGTTTCTTTCCAACCACACCATCCACAAGAGACTGCCAAGGGGATAGCAGACCAAAAATATCTTCCTTTCCTGCCCATTCCAGCAACTTTCCACTGCAGTAACAAAGCCTGAACTGAACCTGGCACCCATCTCTTGTATGAAATAGCCTTGAAGAAAAACATCCAAATCTTATGAGCAAAACTGCAGTGAATAAACAAGTGATTAGAAGACTCTTCCTCCCTGCATAAGGGGCAAAGGGGGTCTGGATCTGGAACATTAACCCCTTTTATTACTAATATCTGTTTAGTTAGGCACTTCACCTTTGAGGGGGGCAGGGGGCAGAAGACCTCCAGATGGCTTTACTAGGAAATGAGGGCACAACAATTGCGTCCAGCCCACAATAACAAGACTTAACAGAGAATAGGCCAGACTTAGATCATTTCCAGAATCTGGAATCTTGGGCATTGAGATTAACTGATTGAGATTGCAGAAGGGCCAAAAGTTCTGATACCTAGTGTAATTCCCAATCATTAAATTCATCCTGAATTCTGGAGTCCAAACAACTTTCCACTATGTAGGAATCTGCCACCAACACATTTCTGTTACTAGCCAACATATAGAGTCCAGGGAACAGTTCACAAAGAGGTCTATCTCCACACCAAGGATCCATCCAAAATCTGAGCCTGTTTCTGATACGAAGCTTGTACCTGATACCTTTTACAAAATGGGGAAGACCTTATAAATCCCTCCCCACGCACTGCAACCATAAGACTGAGAGGGAGTGTTTGAGTCCCAGCCATTTTCAAGTAATTTTCTTAGGAAAACATGTTATCATTTTAAGGAATATTTTTGTAGTCAAGAAAATACTGTGAGTTTTTTGAATTTCTAGAGAAAATTTGAACATTTTGTTTATCTCACTTCACTTTGCAAGCAACCAATGAAACCCAGAATTCCATCCAAGTTCCAAAAAAACGAAGAAATATTCAAGCATTTATACAAAAAAGTTATATGTTATTTAATTGATATCAAGGGAAAAGAGCAAGGAAAAGAAAGAAAGTATACGTAATAGGAAAATATAAAAGAAAATTATTAAATGCAATTCAACCAAATATAACAAAACATTGCATAGATTGCTTGGTGGCATTTGATCTTGTTTCATCAAACCTGAATGAAAAAGCAAAATTTTACCCAATTATAAACCTTGCCCCTAATAATCCTTTACAGGAAGTACCTACTAGAAACCAAATCTAATAGATATATATTATTTCTTCAGAAGTACCTCAATGAGGAGCTGAGGAAGGACAGCTTTGTATGGGCTTCTGGAACTTTCCGTGAACCCAAACTCTTCGCATGTGTTTTTCATTTCGCCGATTCACTGACTTAATGCAACAGTATTCCAGATCAAGCTGCAAATGAACAAGGCAGTTTACCATAATTAGCACCTAATAGGATGGAGATGAGAAAAAGCCTTTTGAGATTCCATCTCCAAGGACTGCCCCACTTGAGTTTTCTCATCTCACCTCATCCACATTTTATGGATAAAAGAGGCTGATTAAGCTAAAACTGTAAAATAGTTGCCAAAGAAATGTATTACTATTTAGGCAATAGAAGGCTTAGATGATGATTGTTATTAAATGTAATTTTCTTATTTTTTAAAGAAATAATTACCAATCCATAAGAAAATTAGTACCTCAATGAATCCTGCACTGACAAAAAGGTTCCTCACAGTATCCAAAGAGAAGAAATAAGAAAGGGTGCCATCAGAACGCATGTACTCTCTAAACCCCACTCTTCTCTCTGGCGGAAATCGAAGCATAGTCATATCATAAAGGCCTGACAACAGAAAGTTATAGAAAATATGGATCCATCATGCAATTAAAATTCTCAGAAGCCTAATAAGAAAAAATAATAGATCAATATTTGGTGGATATCTCCAGGCTAAATTATACTGTTTAGGCATTTACCGTAATCCCTGAATAAGAGAAGCCCACCAGGCTTCAAGACTGAAATGCATTTTGCAATGGCTTTTGGCATCTTTTGAAATGGCATGGCTGACAATGTGAATATCTAAAAAAGCATACAAGTTAGACAACTGAAAGTTCACATACTCATTTATCCAGATATAGTTAAAAAAGAAGAAATTAATGTTCTAAGTTTATGAATCAAATCTGATGAACATTGATGGAACCAGACAACTCACATTGCATTTGGACATGTAGTGTTTGAAAGAGATGATTAGTGTCTTTGGGAAGAAGCATGGGTTTTCGTGCCTCTGTTAGCATGTTTTTATGGAGATATAACCGCTTGCTTTCTTTCGAGGCCTTTGCAGTATTTTCCATCTTTTTCTTTTGCTATTGTTTCTTTGATATTTTGGATTTTGGCGATCCGGTGCTGCCTCTCACCCTCTGATGATTGTATTGAGACTCCTTTTTATTTTAATGAAACCTTTTCTTTTTACTCTTAAAAAAATGTAAAATACAGGCCTAGTGTCAAAACCAATGCTGTGCTGTACTCCTCTAATCCTATTCATCATTTGTTTGTATTTCCCAAATCAGAAGGAGAAATTCAGCAGTCACTAACTTGTTAATTAGTATAATTCCCTTTGTCTCCAATCTGTGTAAGGAAGTTTGGTTGCTCTCTCCTGTCAACTCAAGCTACCCAAACCATGACATCCTCGAACATGAGAACAGAAACTTCAACAAGCCAAGAGGAGCCCATCAATAAAACAGAGTGGTTACCTTGTCTGTCTTCCAGTAGTTTAGACATGAACCAACTTAAGACAGGCACAGCATCTTCAACAAGCCTCATCATCATCATTTAAGTCTTATCCCAACTATATGGGGTAGGCTGTGTGGCTCTTGTTCCCATTTTGACAGTCCGTTCTGTTTAATTCCATATCCATTGTTAAATGATTGGCACTTAAATCATTTCATTTCTCACTACTTTTTTGTCTACCCCTTACCCTTTTAGCCCTTTCAACTTGTATCAAATCACTTCTTATGGGTTCTGTTGATGGTCTTCTGTGCACATGTACAAACCATCTTAGTCTACTTTCTTTCATTTTATAACCCATTGGAGCTACTCCTAAGTTCCTACAAATGATTTCATTTCTCATCCTATCCTTTCTAGTTTTTCCACTCATCCATTTCATCATACACAGTTCTACCACTCATTTTATGGGACATGTTTCTTGAGAGCCCAACACCCTGCTCCGTACAACATAGCTAGCATTACAAACAGTTTTATAAAATTTTCCTTTCAATCCAACTGGTATTCGCCTATCACATAAAACTCCAAATGCACCCCTCCACTTTGCCCATCCTGCTCTAATTCTGTGAGCAACATCATCCTCAATCCCTCCCTTGTTATGAATTATTAAACCAATGTACCAAAAAGGTCACATTGAGTTATTTCTTGGTCTCCAATCCTAAGTGTATCCTGATTTGCACTCCTATTGTTATTAAATTTACATGCCATATATTATGTCTTAGTCCTACTTACTTTAAAATATCGTGTTTCTAAGGCATTTTCCATAAGCTTAATTTTACATTTAATCCCATCAGTAAACAACATGCACCATGGGACCTCCTCCTAAATATGTTAGTCAATTCACCCATGATTAGTGCAAATAAATAAGAGCCAAGTGTTGAACATTTGTGAAGGCCCATCATAACTATAAAAGTTGATGTCTCTCCCATAGGTGTCCTAACATTGGTTGTTGCATCATCATGCAGATCCTTAATTAGGTGTATATACCTATTTTGAACTCCTTTCTTTTTCAAGACCCACCATATTATCTCTCTAGGAACTCTATCATATGCTTTCTCTAGATCAATGAACACCATATGGAGATTTCTCTTTTCTCTCTAAACTTTTCTATCAATCTTCTCAAAAGAAAGATAGTTCCCATGGTTGATATCTTGGGCATACACACAAATTGGTTCTTTGATATACTTGTTTCATGTTGTACTCTTTGCTCAATTATTCTCTCCCAAAGTTTCATAGTGTTGCTCATGAGCTCAATCCCCCGATAGTTGTTACAGCTTTGTATATTGCTTTTGTTCTTAAATATAGGCAGCATATAACTCTTTCTCCAATCATCAAGCATCTTCTTTTCTTTCATTATCTTATTGAAAAGCTTAGTTAGCCATAATAAGCCTAACTCTTGCACACCTTTCCATACTTCTATTACAATCCCATTGGGTCCTAACACTTTCCTTTCATCTTATTTAGTGCCTCTTTCACTTCAATAGTTCTAATTTTACAAAAGTATATGTTATTTTTTAACACTATTTGTATTACTAGTCTTTCCTCCATAAGCATCCTTTACATGTCCATTTAATAACTTTTCAAAATACTTTTTTACATCTTTGCTTGATTTTCTCATTTTTTACCAATATTTTTTGATCTTCCTCTTTAATTCACCTAACATGGTTTAAATCTCTACCACTCGTTTCTCTCATCTTTGCTACTTGCTAGTTTATAGATTCCTTTTTCTCTCTCTTTAGTGGCTAATTTATGATAAGCTCATCATTTGCCTTAAGTTTAACTCCAATACCTTCTTTTTAACTTCCTTTTTATAGTTTTATATTTTTCCCAATTTTCCTTATTTCTAATATTTTTTGTCCATTCTTTGTAATATGCTCATTTTAATCTGATTATATTTTGAACATCTTCATTCCACCACCAAGTTTCTTTAGCATTTTTCCATTTCTCTTTAGTGGCTACTTTCTTTTTCCTTCTACTATCAATTTGTATCTAAATTGAGCTAATTTTTCTCCTTTTAGGATTTCCCACCTAACTCTTGGACACCTATTTTCTTCCCTATCTCTCTTCCATTTCCTAATGTGCTAATCTACTACTACTAATCTATGTTGTGTGGTTAAGCTTTCCCCTAGAATATCTTCAACAAGCCTACAAGTGCCTATTGATAAAATCGAATAGTAACCTCGTTTGTCTTCAACAGACTTAGGAATGAAAACCTAAATGTGGTCAACAGTGCAAATATTGCCCCCCTTGACTCTAAGGACATAATCTGCCAAAGAATGGGCTCAGAAATCCTTTCTTACTACCTGATCCAAGGGCCTCTTTTAGTTTCTCCCTTGACCTTTCAGAACCTTTAACTTGCATGAGATCACTCCTCACTGGTGCATTAATTGATTTTCTTAAGTTATTATTCCATTTTCATGTGTTGCCAATTGAGACTAAATCAACCCATCTTAAAAAGCATTTTGGGAAATTATCAGCCTGGAATATCCAATCAAGATGGTCCACCCTCTACATAGTAGATCACCTGATCCTGGCTTCTACAAAGAAATAGGAAAGGCTTGACTGAATTGTGTGTTTTCTTTATTTTGTTTGTAATTAATTCAAGAATTTTATTATTCTTTCTAAAGTATCTGGAATCTGATGGTGTGATATAGGTGATTATCTATAAGGGCCAATTATAAGTTGGCCCTTATATACAAGGTCATACCCCTTTCCCCTCCCCCAAAAGGAAAAAGGAAAAATAAACAAAAAACATTGAAGAAGAGGTTATGACGGAATTACAGAAATTGAAAATACAGAGAAGGATGGATGTCTAAGCACAGTTCTAGAAATCAATTTCCATATTTGGCCAAACAAAAGGAGCATTTCCTTGAAACTGTGAAATGGTTCTGGTTTGAAAATCTTTTCAAAGAATCAAACAGGCTTTTCATGGAATTAGAAAGATTTGATCCATGTAGAAAATAATAGATAAATTTGTCTTTCTACATAAACCGAAAACAGAAATATAATTTTTAGGTAAAGAGAAAAGAGAATTGTTCAGTTCAAATTGTCCTTCATGAAGAGGAATAAGACATTAAATAAAGCTAATTAACACTACTAGAGACCCTTGGCAACTTTTGAAATTGTCCATTGACATCTGCTAGAGATACACTTGTTCTCAAAGGATTTTCCTGAGCTCCATTTCCCAGTTCTTGTTCTTATTTGTTTCTTTCCTCCCTTTCTAGATCTACTAACTGCTGAAAATATTCTACTACCAATAACCTCAACCACTTTGGCTGCAGTGTTGTCCAGCCATACTAAACAATTGAATATTGGAACAGCCCTTGCAGGCCTCCCCTAGCTCAAAGGATTCTACTTTATTCAAAGCAGTACATATTGGTCATAGGACTACAACTTGCTCATGGTAAGTTTCTTCTCTTTTTCATTTCTATTCTCAGGTCTGAATCTCGTTCTCTCATAATCCAAAAATCCCTGATTCTCCCTCTTTTTCCTACCACATTTACTATTATGTCTGTGCCTTGAATTCTTTGTTATGACCTACTTCATCAATCCACTCTGAATTAAGTTGAGAAAAACCCAAAGGCAAAATTTCATAGTGGTTTGTGGTGGATGTGTAGGGCTTGGACCGCTAGGACCCGATCCATATTCAGCTTATGGGTCCGACCCGAATACGAAGAGTTATGTATTTTGGGGTTTTTCTCTTGTATACTTGTCTTTTGGCTTGTGAGAGAAGTCGAGCAACTTTGGGTGTATTTGGGGTTTAGGGTTCTGTGAGTGACATTGTGAGTGCAGAGCTCTATACCATAGAGCTCTATACTTCATCAATTGCTGATTTCATAGTGGAATTCTGCTCCTTCGCCCATGGACATAGGCTATAAGCTGAACCACATAAATTTGTGTGTTCTCTCTGTTTACTTCTCTTTATCTCTGTTTTACTTTCATTTTTGGGTGCCATTTTTTTCTTTTGAAAAAAGGTAAGGTAATTTTATTAACTGAATCAGAGAATACAAGGGGCTCTAGAAAAGGAGCAAATCGACTGAGATCAGGACCCCAAACTAAAGTACAATTCAAACACACTTCTGGACCTCATTTTTGGGTACCATTCAAATCTGTATTTCTAGGTTTTGTGCAACATTCACCCTAGTAAGACTTTTCTCCTTCCCGTCCTACATCACATAGATAACATCCAAATCATTTATTTTAATATAATTATTTTCTCTCTAAAACCATTCTTTGTTTCAAGCTTATATTATAGATGACTCAACCTTCTTATTTTCCTCATGAATTTTTTTTATTATAATTTGGTAATGTGCATAGACAACCAATGACTGCACAAATTAGGAGTAAATTGGTGCAAATAGAAAGCTCTAAAGGGACAAGGGGAAGACCAAAGAAAGCACGGTCTGAAGTGCTAAAAAATTATTTTAAGGACTYAAAAATTTGACAGAAAACATGGCTCTTAATGAAGCACAAGAGATGGAAAGGATTCATGTAACCAACCCTAAAAAGTCGGGATTAAAGCTAAGTTGAGTGGGTTGAGTAAATATATAATTTAATTAAATAAAGTCAATGTTTCACTATTTTTAACTCTTATAAAAGGATAACCAATACAATACCATAAAAAGTAGTAGATAAAACATAATAAAAAATATTCATAGCTAAAATATAAGCAATGAATGTTTTGTATACCATCTTGAAATGGTATAATCATTTTAAAAGCATCAGTCTATTACTTTATAATGATATAATTGTTTAAAAGAGTATGCCAATAAATAACCCATTGAATTAGAAAAGATGGTGCATATATGGGAAATCTTTTATTTAAATACCAAATCATTTATTAGTGCACTGGGTAGAGATTTGTTTTTTGAATAAGTTATAATTGGAATAGAACAATTCTTCATTTGGGAAGATGAGAAATATAAACCACATCAATCTAGACTCAAAGTGGCCATGGGCAGCATGAAGGTCCTTGGAAGGTTCTTGTATAAACTTATTAGATCTGCATAGATTTTGTTAGAGGATCTTTAGAATGTTTAGAAGCATCTATATTACCTATGGGGAAAATATCTTGCCAATATACCTGATAAACAAACTGCATGGAGTCATCCATATTAGGGTGATACATTGGTTGAAAACTTTGGCATTGTTTGCAGAATTCTCAGTTGATGAGTTGCTAAGAAACTGGAAGGAGATCGCAGAATTAGCTTCAGCTAAGAAGACATCAAACTCTTGTTGGATTCCTCCATCTCATGGCTTTACTAAACTGAATTTTGATGGCAGCAGTATGGGTAATCCAAGGCCATCCAGAATAGGGGGAGCAATAAGAGATGAACAAGGGAATCTACTAGCTATGTTTTCTGGACCAATAGGGGTGGGAGATTCCTTGAGGGTTGAGATACTTGCAGCTCTTGAAGGGATACAAAGGGTCAAGGATATGCATATTAATAAGCTGATCATAGAAGGAGATTCTGAAGTTGTGGTGAGCTGGCTAAAAGAGGATAACTCTAGGCTCTAGAATTACAACAATGAAAAGAGAAAATTTAAGTGGCTGACTAAGGACATTGAAATTCAATACAAATGGGTAAAGAGAAGTGCAAACTCATTGGCAGATGGTCTAGCTAGGCAAGGGGTGAACAGAAACTCTATATTTTGGGCTGTATTGTAATTTTTTTGGTGTTCAATGGTTGTACGGGAGCTAAGATTGTTTAGCTCCCTTGATTTGTAATTTTTCATAATCTTAATTCAATTCACAGTTATTGATAAAAAAAATGGGTATTAGTAACTTACCAAGGTGACAAAATCCACTCCACCAATGCAACATTGTCCTCCTTCAGAGGATATCCTATCCATACTCACTTCTTTATTCTTATTAGCATCTGAGAAATGTAACAAATACCATAAAGTCATACTATCCAGTATCCACATAGGCCATGATAGTTCCCAACAAAATCAAGGAGCACAAAATGAAAAAATACTGTTAGACATTGGGAAAGAAGTGCATCAGAAAGGATTATATTTTTCAACCTGATAGACAAAAATCGTTTGGCTTATGTGGGGAAGGTTTTCTGCAAAAATCACAGATCAACCACTTCGGAAATCCATTCAAAGAAAGATCACATAAAAATGGATGGAAACGATGTTCTATTGAGAGTCCATCAGTTGTACAAATAATATCCTTAGCCCTCTCAAGAGCCTCCATGCTACAGTCACATGCATAAACAGTAATAATCTGTTTTCCACTGCAGAAAGGAAAAAAGTTTTGGGAAAGGATATGAGATAATACCACATCTACAACAAGCATTAACTTACAACAGAAAAATGATATGAATCAAGAAAATAGGGATAAAACAACAAGGAAATGTTTAGAGTCAGAGTAAGAATTAGTGATCTGCTAAATCATAAACCATTTTGTCCTTATAATGAAAAAAAAAAAGTCCTTTTGCCTGCCCATTCCATTGCATTACATACTTATGCATACCTGGCGTACTACAAGGAGATAACTGGGAAAGCATAAAAGGTATTGAAGGTTCGCCAATAAGTAAAACAGGCAAAAAACAGTACAAGAGAACAATAGAGTGGAAAAAAGCCTAGATCAGGGCAACAATTATTGTAAACCTCTTATGATATGAAGAAGGCATTGTGCTGTATGGTTGCAAGTTAAGGTAGATGATAATTCAAAGGTGGCCATTAGTTGGTTTGAAGGGGCCTTAGATAATGCAGTATGACATTAGAGAGGCCAGAGTGAACATCTCTCTCAGGTGGATATGGAGGTAATGCTGATGGGTTGGCTAAATGAGGTGTTGGGAGATGTCAATGATTGGATGGATCAGCACATCTAAAGGATTCCATATGAGAGGAGGACCCAACATCCTTAAGGCTGGCCAATCTTGTGACTCAGATCAGAACATTTTTCTTTTCAAATGGAGGTTGTAAATGTGCTAATTTAGTGAGTTCCTGCTAAAAGTCATGTTCAATGGGTTTTTAATTTATTAGCTTAGTCGTCCCTTTGTACTTTTGTTTCTCCCTCCACTCCCTTCACTGATTGTGGTTTATCTGGCCGTTGCTTTGTATCTCTCATTTTTTTCTTTAAAAACTAGATTATTGAAGGAAAAAATCATTCACTTGCTATAGGAGATACCACATCATCAATCATATTTCACCTTAAAATCCTACAAAATTTGAAGTTCCAATGGGATTGAAGAGCAATAAAGTGACAACTTCTTTCCTCCTAAACACTTATTAATAGAAATGGATTTTAGTCCTAAGGTTTGAAGAAGAGAGGGAGAGAGAACATGAAATTAAAAAAAGAAGGAATAAGATAAGCATAGTCATCATAGTGATGGCATTACTCCATCATAAAGATCATTACCCAGTATTGGTCACAGACTCACAGCCATCCGGGATCTAGGGAGGGAGGGACTGGATGATAACTCCAAATGGTTGGGTTTGAAACTTTGAATCAAGGATAAGGATAATAGCTCCAAAAGTCAGAGTAAGGGCTGATGGAAAGAAAGAAAATGCAGCCATAAAAGGATTCCTGGGTTCATCTTCAAAAGATTTAGTTCAACCAAAGACTTATTCACACGGATAAAAATGTGTTCATGAAACCAACCATTTAATAAATCTCTCAAGGCCCAGGCCAACCAAAGGTAGGTTATTTCATGTAATTAAAATTGAAAGACCACAAGAAAGGAATTAATACAAAATAAACCAAGCACTAACGGTACCGTAAAATGGGCAGGACAGTGCTCCCATTCCCACATCCCACCTCCAAAACCTTGGAATCCGCATCACACGTGAGTAGTTCAGGAAATTCCTTCAACAAATACCGCCTTTCCTGCTCCCAAAAGTCAAAGCTTAGACAAACAGGATAGCATGAAAGTGAAAGATAAAAGTATATATTTTTTTCTCAATAAATCATTTATATAGAACCATACCCCCATTTCTGCAATACCAAAAGAACCCACAAGCAATCAAAATGGAGCCAAAAAGAAATTCCAGGAATTATTTGTAGAAATAAAATTCAATTAAAGCTTCAAAAGACATGAGACAGTAAAGACAACACGCATTGTAAAATTTAAGAGATGGAAATGGCGGAATTTCAGCAAAAAAAAAAATCGTAATAGATACGAGCCAAAGAACATATAGAAATCGTAAGTCGCACCTTGAAGAACCTCCCTGTAGAGTGGCGATTGTGGAAGCTCTTCCATGCTTCCGACTCGTTCGAAAGAGACAAAGATGGAGAGGGAGCAGAGGGATCGAAGGGAAGTAGATGATGTCGAAGAGACAAATCGTTCTCGATCTCTTCTCTGAGTTCCTCCCACTCGAAATCCTTGGAGAAATACTGTGTTTCTTCACCCATTTTACTTCACAGGTTAAGTTGAAGGTGAAGAAGCATGGCGGGGCGACGATGATAATGGGCCGTATTGGAAACAAGAAAACGTTGGATTGGAATATCTTATTTGTGAGGACCCATGGTTAAATTTGTTTACGGCATAAATACGATTAGATACCTTTATACAATTCGGAATGTTGTTGGGCTGGGCTTAATCTAAATTTGAACTTACCTGAGATCTTAATAAAATCCAATCTATATTTAGGTAAAACCCAAATTTTTAGGCCCAGCCCTAAACTAAAAACGCAAGCCCAAATTATGCAAAAGATCGGACTGAATTGGGCTCAGTTGAGCACAACCAATTTACAGCCCTACACTAAATACCGCCAAAAGAGAAACCCTAACGGTCTGTTTGGCTTTGTGCGAATAGGATGAGAAAATAAGAATATTCTTCAAAGGTTTCTACTTTTTCACGTTTGTTTTGAGCGAAATGATGAGATGCGATTAGAATTGAATTCTCAATTTTTAGGACACAGGGTCTCACCAAATAGGTGTGACCCCAATGTGAAAGGAAACAATTGCAAAAATTTTATCCAATGAGGCAAGTTAGTGTCATCTTCTTCTCAACCGTTGTCCAACCATATACTCACCGGTGCCATCTCCGGCGACCTTTCTCAGAGGTAAGCTCATATTTGGGTTCCTCTCATGATTTCCGTTCGTTTCTATACCATTTTTACCTATTTTCATGAATGAGCTCCCCACGAAATTTTCCCAACGCCTAGAGCCATCTATGGTTGTCCAGATCCAAAAATGCATCTGATCTACCATTGAAGACGTTTATTTTAACGCCGAAGCTCCAAATCTATCTTCTGGTATATGCCTTTTTCTAGATTTGGTGTTTTTTCTAGATCTATGTTTTTTTTTTTTAGATATGCTCTGTGTTATATATTTGTTTCAGAGTTGCCATTAGATCTGATGGTGTTGGTCTCAAATACATTTGTCTATGTTAGATTTCTTGTGTTTTAGATTTGTTTTAGGTTTGTTGTATATTTGGTCTCAAATACATTTGCCTTCTTCTCAATAATGCTCGAACTCATATCCGTATTTTTTTTTTTCATTTTTTGTTGTGTTTCAGGTTATCTCAGGCAACCCAAGGGGTTTTCAAGCTTAGGTACTATTTCAGTCAACCCACGCAAGGGGTTTTCATTTTTTGTAGTGGAATAGTATATGCTGATTTGGGTATTGAATAGTCTGTTGCAAATGATGATGAATAACAATAGTATATGCTGATTTAGGTATTATTTTCTCAATAATACTTTGTATTATGCTTGTTTACAATTTCTGGTCATCTCAATCCACACTAGTGGAATATTTAGGTGATTTAGCAATAGCAGTTAAATTAAGTTAAATAATATTGTAGCTTAATGTTTAGGTGATTTAGCAGTAGCACTATATTTTCTATTTAAGTAAAATAATATAATAACTTGATATTTAGGTGATTTAGCAGCAGTTTCTTGAATCAAGCTTTACATAGTCTGTATGCAGGATTGAATCAATATATGTGGTGTTCAAAATAAATATTTTTTAATGAAAGTTTCTAATTAAATGTATGCTTAACTGTTGGAAGCATGATTGGGTATATGAATCAAATGTATGCTTAACTGTCACCAATTGTGCACAAGAATTGTTGAATTCCTCTGTTATTGGGTATATGAATCTTTTCACCCCTTCACCTTAATAGTAAAAAAAAAAAAATTGGCTAAGAGGGAGGTGGAGGTTGTTCTCTTCTCTCACTATGTTTCTGGATGGAAGTTGTTGGGGAACTTGGTTACCCAGGGTTTCTCAGCAAAGATGTTTCTCTAGACGCGGTCAATAACCACCCTTGGGGGTGGTTCCTCTTTCAGGTGCTCATCCTCATAGTCATTGTTCACATAGTATCCCACTCTAATGAACTCCTGTCCAAGATAAGAACAAGTCAGCAGCACCACCGTTTAACCAATGATATCCTCTTATCTGATCTTTGAAGGATCGGGTGGATCAGCCTGGCAACAGATTGATCATAGGTCTCCTCCTCTGCCGACCCAACATATATGAGTTTCCACTCCAAATCTGTACAAAAAATGGAATATGTCAATATACGAGCCCTCTATAATTAGCATTATGCTTTGAATTGTGAAAGTTTACAAATTAAGTGCAGAACAGTCTGAAGTATTATTTGCCAATGCTGGTAGAGCTCTTGAAGATTGGAGTCTAATTTAAATTTCTTTTTTCTTCCTTTGGTAAATGTTGATGTGCAAGGTGCCAATTGGCTGGTTGGTAAGACCTCCAAGTGGTTGTAGCGGAGGCTTGGGTTGGGGGATAGGCTACCCCCGTTGTGTAGCCCCATGGAGCAAAAATGATAAGCATTGATGTGAGCAAAGGCTTCCAAACCTTGCTTCTCTTTATCAATGGCAACTCTGAAGATAGCTATGGCTATTGACAAAAGCAAAATTCTGTAACTTAAAATTTTATAATATGCTGAGTATAAGAAACATAACATGTTGTGAGAAATTAAGATTGCTAAACACTCTCTTTTCTAGATACAGACAAATTGACTAAGTCAACACACAAAAAAAAAAGTATATGAATAAAGGAGAATAGTAGTTATGGTTGCTTAGGCAGATTCATCAAATAGATCTGTAAACGCTTTGGTACAAAGCCACCATGCTCTCCTTAGGGTGTGGGCCATTGATTCTTCTTGAAACTTCTATTRGTCTTCTTTCTTCAAAAGTATGGATGCATCCTCTCCAGTTCCATGTCTTTCCTGGCAAAAGTTATTTTGGAGAGTCCTACTGCACCCAAAAGAAAAAATCAAAGCATTTTTCTGGGAAAACACATTGAAGATAATCAATACAAATGAGATTCTCCAATGAAGAAGGAAAGCTAGGAGCTTTTACCTTGTGTGTTCCTTTGCTTAGATAGTGATGAGAAATATCACTAATCTATTCTTAACTTGCTCTTTCATAGCTTATATATGAAACCACTTTTTTCTCTCTATTGAGCTTCTTGGACTCCATCTGATGTCTTGGTATTTTTCAGCTCTAACTTGATCTTTCTATGCAAGAAAAGAGGGAGAATCATGTGGACATTACATGGACAGCTGTTCTTTGGAGTGTATGAAAATTGATCTAGTATTAGTAAGTGTAGTCAGTTGGGTTATCACTAGGGTGGAATTCAAGAATGTATTTATAGATTAAGTGGTTGTTAGGTGGATGAGAATGGACTTTGGTGGGTTTGCATTGAGAATTCAACAATTGTAGAAGTGGTTGTTAGGGTGGAATTCAACAATTGTAGAAGTCAGTTTTTTCAAGCACGGGAGGTACCAGAGAATAGGAGGATGAGAATGGACTTTGGTGGGTTTGCATTGAGAATCTCGGTCCATCATGTGGGGCTTGTCCTGGGTTTCAATCCCAAACATCCATTTTGTACAAGACAATGATCCTAATTTCGTCACTTTCAGACCCTATAGAAGTACAAGGGACGATGGTGCTAACATCACTAGTGCCCATTAAATAAAGTTCAAACTCTTCCATTGTCATGGATGTTGTCATCAATTGGAAGGAGCAAGCATCAGGAGGACAAGAAAGTAAATTTCAGTACAATGAGTTAATGGATAAATGGTTGCTTAATATAACAATCAAGCATTTAACTCCCAAAATTACCTAATAGAAGGCCTTTGGTTGTGTTTTAAAAGAATAGAGCACTATCACTGCCAATTTTAAAAAGTGTGTCAGGTTAATGCCTTGACAAAAGGCTTAAGGAAACACCTTGAGGATCAACCCAGAGGCCCACGCCAATGTTGTCAGATTGGCAGGAACTAGTTAAGGAATATAAATTCCAGTGTTGTCCGATTCTGACCATACCAGACTGTTGGACTGTTAGAACTGGGAACCAGCAGTCAAACCAGTTTTTATGCTGACTAGTTCTTAGAAATGTGGACCTGCTATACTTCGGCCTGTTTTGGCTGATACATATGGTTTTTAATTCTGAAATTTTGATATGAAACTTTGCAAGTCATGTATCATGGATGATGATAATTCAATTTTTTCTTTAAATATGATGAATGTGTTATTTGGAAATGCAAGTATGGAATTTTCTAAATTCTCATAATTTTTTTTTTTTTTTGGGATGATAACTATATTTATTTTAAATATTTTTTAATTAAAAATTCTATGCTTGAGAGACTTGTGCCTCTTATGTTCATTTTGTTATCCCTTATCCTTATATTGGTTAATGTATTGTTGAGTGTTGTGTAATTTATGCACAGTTAATTCAGGCAAGTATACCTTAGTCAAATATGCGTATAATGATGAGAAAAGTGTCGATCCCACAGACACAAGATCATAGTACCAAATCAATTTTAAACTAACCTAAGTTGAACCCGTGAATCAATTGAATGAATAAAAACTAAAAGAATTAATGCAAATCCAAGAACTTAATAAAATGAATTGATGGATGAATGCAACTAGGGTTTAGATTTCATTAAATCAATGTTACATAATTACTTATTTAATCCAACTCAATTTTGAAATTACCTTAAGGTATATTAAAGTTATTTGCATGTGATGATGGATTTCCCTAAATTAATTAATAAGCTTTCTCAAGTCATATTAATCCTTTATTAATTCAATACTACCATCAAATTTCTAAGTGGTTGTCAAAAGGAAAAATAAGCATTAATTTCTTTGGAAACCTCTAATCGTAGAAGGGGATTTGACTCACTAAGCTTCCTTGATTCCCACACATGAGCTAATCATCTTTCGATATCATAGTCTATCATGTGATCTTTATTGCCTAGGAATTTAATTCATAACAATCCCTTGGTCAGTCATGCATGAATCATCAAATCATTAAAAGATTGGCCAATTCTTTTAAAGCATTAAGCATAACAATAAAAATTCATCATGCAAATAATAAAGGTCTCGAATTTAATTAAACAAATAACTATATAATCTTAAGATCAAAATCCATCTAAACCCTATCTAAGAGAATTTAGATAGGCATCATTAAATTCAACATACTCAAGAAAATTAAAGGGGAAACACAACAAGAAC